TGGTGATAAATGCAGTTATTCATACTGGGGTTGATGACAATGGTAGAGGCATGGGTATTGGTCACAATGGATAATCGTGGAGGTATTGGTAGTGATACTGGTGCTGGTATTGGTGATCACAGTGGCAGTGGGGGGAGGAGGGGGTGGTGGTGGCAGTGTTCACTGTGAGGCTGGTAATGACCACAGGGTCAGGTTCTTGGCCCCCAGGATTGTAGGCTGGCACCTCGGTGAGAAGAGGTTTCTGAGGAGGCTTCCCCTGGGATTATGCCAAGTGTTGGGGAGAACTCAGCACATTCCAGTGGTGTCTGGCTTCCATGGGGTGAGTTTCCCTAAAAACTGTGGGGCCACAGCAAAAAATGAGGGTCTCCCCCTTTCTGCCCTTTCCCTCCACAGCTTCATCGAGGACAATGAAATTGGCTCCATCTCTAAGAATGCTCTCAGAGGACTTCGCTCACTCACACATCTGTATGTGCCTCCAAGGCCTCACCCCTCCACTACCCCAACCCACCCTGGCAGGCACCCCATACCCCATCATCCAGAGCATAGGCTGTCCTCGTAGCTGCTGATGGTTCCTCCTTTTTCTCTCCTTCCACCAGGAGCCTGGCCAATAACCATCTGGAGGCCCTCCCCAGATTCCTGTTCCGAGGCCTGGAGACCCTGACTCATGTGTGAGGCTCAAGGGGGCTGCGTGGGGAGGTGGGAATGTTTGAGGAGGGAGGGGATATCTGTGCCCACTCTTGGTAGGCACAATGTGTACGGCTGCAATGATGCATATTCCTCACACCACCTGTGGGGCTCCATCCTGAACTCTTACCTGGGGAGGGGTGGGGAGTGTGGCCTCCAGATGGTGGAAGCCGGGTCGCAGCCCCTCCCCGGCCTCTTGCCCCAGGGACCTCCGTGGGAACCCGTTCCAGTGTGACTGCCGTGTCCTCTGGCTGCTGCAGTGGATCCCCAGCGTGAACGCCAGCGTGGGGACCGGGGCCTGCGCCGGCCCCACCGCCCTGGCCCACATGCAGCTCCGCCTTCTCAACCCCAAGACGTTCAAGTGCAGAACCATAGGTGGGGGCTTTCCCTGTGGGGTGGGAGGGACAGCAGGGGTTCCCAGAAGAAGGCGGGAGATCAGGGGGACAGAGGCCCGGGCTGAGGGGTTCACCTCACTTCCTGCTTCCTGCCAGTTCCTGGCTGTGAGACTCTGAGCAAGCAGCATCACCTCCCTGACCCTCAGTCTCCTCATCTGTAAAATGGAGGTAATAAACAGTGAGAATCCAGTGATGTATCCACGCCTGTATAACATTTGGCACAGAGCCTGGAATGGGAGGCCCTTATAAATGTTCATTCTTGTTACTCTTATTAATATAAAAATGGCCATTTCTAAAATGCTTCCTATGACCATTTTGCTCTTCCATAAACATATGCTGGTGCCGTTATGGGTACTGGGCAATGCAGAAAGCACAGCAGTGATGAAATGGTCCTGGGTCTTGTCCTCATAGAGCCCACAGTCCAGAGGGCAGCAGAGCCTGGAATGGTCAGGGCCAGGGTGGGGGAAGCACAGAGAGGTCAGGGCTGGGAGGTGGGGAGCCCCCGGGGCTATGGGAGCCCAGAGCCAGAGCAAGAGTCAGATACTCCTGAAGGAATGGGCATTTGGGTTCAAATCTGAAGGCTATTAATATAATAATAACTATTATTATCATCATCATATCTAAATGTGACATGTTTTAGGTTTGTCGGGCTCATAGAAGAAGAGAATTTAACTTAAGGGTCATTTAATATATATATATATATTTTTTAAAATATATTTCTTTATTGATTTAAAAGAGGAAGGGAGAGGGAGCGATAGAAATATAAATGATGAGAGAGAATCATTGATCGGCTGCCTCCTGCACACCCCCTACTGGGGATTAAGCCAGCAACCCGGGCACGTGCCCTTGACGGGAATCAAACCTGGGACCCTTCAGTCCACAGGCCGACACTCTATCCACTGAGCCAAACAGGCTAGGGCAAGGGTCATTTTTTTTAAGTTATTTAACAAATATTCACCGAGGCCCACTCTGTGCCTGGCCCTATGAAAGGCAATGGGCACACTGTGGTGACCAAGATAACTCTGGACCCTGGCCTCGCAGTTCTGTGGGGAGGAAGGGAGAGACAAACATTAAATAAAACATTGCACAAATAGATGTATGTTACATATTGTGATAAACACAGGGAGTGATGAGGAAAATTAAGGGGGGGTCCTACCTTACATGGGCATCTGATAAGAGTTTCTAAAGAGATGGCATTAGATCTGGATGTAGCTCTCTGAGGTTAGAGGGAAGGACATTGCAGAGAGGTGGGTGTATGTGCAATGGCCCTGAGGCAGCAAAGAGCCTGTCCTGCTTGGGGATCAAGGGAAGGCAGGTTTGGTTTGGGAGAGTGAGTGAAAGGAAGGACACATGAGGTCAAAGGTGCAGGAGTCTCACTGTACAGGACACTGAGAGCAACGGAGAGGAGAGTGGATTTCACCGAGGCTGTGGGAAGCCATGGTGGGTCTTGAGCAGGGAGTGATCATTTGATGGACATTTTAAAAGATCCCCCTTTGGGTGGGCATCCTGGTTAGTTTGGGTCATTGCTGCAATCCTGGCACTTAGAAACAGGCCTGGCCTATCGAGTGAAGTAGTATGACCCGGAGTCAACTGCTCAGTTCCACCACCACTCTGCTGGGCAACCTGGGTGCACTGTTACCATAAAAGCTAAGTTGTAGCAAAGAGATTCAAAATACCCTGAGTGAAAGAAGACAGAGGGCCTGCGATGTGCACTCCCAGCACATCTGGGTGTTGTCCTGGTTTTCATGGTTGACACTGACTTGTAGCACGTCCATCTGCTAGGTCTTGGGAGTAAGGGGAAGGAGACCAAGTCCAGGGTGAGCCACCTTCATACGCTTGAGGCAAGCATTGCAGCCACCACTCTGCTCTTGTTCCATGGGAAACTTGGTTTGGACATGGCCACACCTAACTTCAGGAGGGGGTCCTGAGGGGGTGCTGGGTGATGTGGCCTCTAGCTGGGCAGGTTGTGCCCACCTCCAGTCCTATTTCATGGAAAATGGGAAGGATGGATTTTGCTGGACAACTGGCTGCCTGTGTCTCTTAACCTTAGTTTCCTCATCCGTAAAGTGGATATAACAGTGGAATGTACCTCCTTGGGATTTGGTGAAGTTAAATGAATTAAACATGCTGTTTCTAAGCAGTTATTTGATGATGCCACCAAGCTTAGAAAATAAAGTATTATCATGTTGTTTTGAATTAATACAGCTATAGATTAAAAAGATTCCACTCCATGTACCTATGAGGTGAACACCATGACGGTCCTCATTTCAGAGATGTGCAAACCGAGGCTCAGAGATGAAGACCTTTGGGGTCTCCCGGGCCTGCCTGACTTTCTCCTGCCATCCCCAGAGCTGTCCCGGTTCCAGACGGTTGGGGAGTCGGCGCTGGGCGTGGAACCTTTTTCCTACCAGGGGGAGCCCCACATGGTCCTGGCACAGCCCTTTGCTGGCCGCTGCCTGATTCTCTCCTGGGACTATGGCCTGCAGCGCTTCCGGCTTGAGGAAGAGCTGTCTGGTGAGCTCCCCCTCTCATCTTCCTGCCTGCGGGGGGCGGGGGCTGGGGGCTGCCCTGCCCAGCCGGCCTGATCTGCCTCTTGCTCCCTGACTCCCCCACAGCTCCCTCGGTGGTGTCCTGCAAGCCCCTGGTGCTGGGCCTGCGCCTCTTCGTGCTGGCTGCCCGCCTGTGGGGAGGCTCGCAGCTGTGGGCTCGGCCCGGTCCCGGCCTGCGCCTGGCCCCGACTCAGGCCCTGGCCCCAAAGCGTCTGCTGAGGCCCAATGACGCTGAGCTCCTGTGGCTGGATGGGCAGCCCTGCTTCGTGGTGGCCGATGCCTCCAAGGCAGGCAGCACCACCCTGCTGTGCCGCGACGGGCCTGGCTTTTACCCACGCCAGAGCCTCCACGCCTGGCACCGGGACACGGATGCTGAGGCCTTTGAGCTGGACGGCCGGCCTCATCTGCTGTTGGCCTCAGCCTCACAGCGGCCCGTGCTCTTCCACTGGTTTGGGGGCCGCTTCGAGAGGCGCACGGACATCCCCGAGGCTGAGGACGTCTACGCCACACGCCACTTCCAGGCCAGTGGGGATGTGTTCCTGTGCCTGACACGCTACATCGGGGACTCCCTGGTAAGCCTGGGCCCAACCAGGTAGAGGTGGGAGCAGAGGCCACAAGCCACCTCTGACCTGCAGTTGACTCCTACTCAGGGCTGTGTTTTCAATGGGGACCACCCAATCTGGGCTGGTCTTTCAGCATTGACCCCACTTTGCACGCTGACCTCAGCTCTGCCCCAAGCTCACCGGCTGATCTTCAAACTCCAACCCCATCTAATGTGTTGATCCTTGAATTCTGACCCCAACCCAACACTGACTTCAAGACTGTGACCCCTCAAGGCATTGCTAACCCTAAACTACTCCCATTCCCCAACATAGACACTGGCCCCAAGATTCTGATTCTAACCCCAAACTCTGGCTCTATAACTCTGACTCACTCCAGGACTGACATTTAACCACAGCATCACACTCTGAGTCCCCCAGGCTGGTGCCCACACCCTCCAGCACTCTTTTTAGAGAAAGGTGTACCCAGGGAGAGAGTCTGAGCCTAGAAGTCACTGCTCTGATTCAGTTCACGGAGTGTCTCTGTGGGGAGTGAACTGTGGGCACAAGGACAGGAGTAGGTGACCAGGGAAAAGGCGACTATAGCTGGTTTGGAGTGCGGCCAGAGGAGGTTGGAGCAATATATAGCATAGTAGGTAAAACGGACAGATTCCATTACTGATGAGTTCTATGTTGGTGTGTGTGTGGGGGTGGGGGGGGGGCGGGGAGAGAAAGAAGGGCCAAGAATGTGGCCTGAGCAGCTGGGTGATGACATTTATAAAGAAAGCTACAGGAGTTTAGGGACCTGCAGGCCTCAACTTACAAGCTGTTCCAAGCCCTCTGAAGCCTAGAGGACTATCAACAGGCCTGGCCCTCTTGGATCCCAGTCCTAACCAGCCGCCACACTTCACAGGTCATGCGCTGGGATGGCTCCATGTTCCGCCTGCTGCAGCAACTTCCTTCACGTGGTGCCCACGTCTTCCAGCCACTGCTCATAGCCAGGGACCAGCTGGCTATCCTGGGCAGTGACTTCGCCTTCAGCCAGGTCTTCCGCCTTGAGCCTGACAAGGGGCTCCTGGAACCATTGCAGGAGCTGGGGCCCCCAGCCTTGGTGGCCCCCCGGGCCTTTGCCCACATCGCCATGGCTGGCAGACACTTCCTCTTTGCTGCTTGCTTCAAGGGCCCCACACAGATCTACCAGCTTCACGAGTTAGACCTCAGTGCCTGACACTGGATGGGATCCTGGACATGGCTGGTGAGGGGGCTGGCATGGGGAGTTTTAGGCCTCTGGACACCTCCTTGACTGACCTCTTGGCCCCACTTGGGGTTATGGCTGGTCCTGTGAGATACTGGCCACAGGCCAAATCAAGGCAAGAACTGCCCTCCAATCTTAAGCAACATCTTGGCTGGGGGCAAATGCTGGGCACTCAGACTGGGGCACGGAACTGGAATCCAGAAGTCATGGTGGAGTAATGTGCAGAGCTCCATGAGGCCTGGAAGCACCCCCCTCCCCTCAACCCACCCCTCCTACTCCAGCTCCCTGTGCAAGTACCCAGGAGGAGATGGCTTTCCTCTCCCCACTAAACTCAATCTGGCCAATCGCTTTTAGTGCACGCCTCCATGACGTTACCAGTTGCTGGGCAGGTTTTCCTGCCAGGCTTGCTAACTTCCTCTGTTGCTTGTGCGCATGCCTGCTGCCAAGGCGGAAGCCCAGCACGTCCTTGCTGTGCGAGGGAAATGGGAGGGAGAGCGGGAGTTTTTGCGGGGAGCCCAGGGTACTCCTTTCCAGTGAGTGAACGAGGTGAAGGCGAAGGTGTGTGAGCTCAATAAATGTGCTGTGAGCCCGCCCCAGCTGTTGTTGTGGGATCAGTGGGAGAGGGTGTCCCCTGACTGAAAAGGGGGGTTGAGGGGGGCAGTGTCCCAGGAGCAGTGTTTTAGAGGGGGAGGTCCCAGGGGAGCATGTTGGCATACTCTGGTAAGCTTTTGGAGTTGTCTAAGGAGTGTGGGTTCATGATTGTGGGGGATGTTCAAGGGATATAAGGGCTTTATTAGGGACAGGACACAGGTTTCTTGTGGGTCTCTTCCTGGGGGGGGGGTCTCTTTTTGGATGTTTTGAAGGTTTTTAGGCATCTTAGGGGTGTCTCTTGAGGACATTTTGAGGTCTTATTGGGTTTTGGGGAGTCTCAAGGGATTTTGAGGCTCATTGGAAGCTCTCACACCAGGTGGCCATCATATATTATTAGGGTTATCATGGGCAATTACGTAAAAGCCTCACGGAGACATTGGGTATTAGGAAGGGTCTTGTGTAATAAATTGGGGTCACAGCAGTGAGTGAGTCTTAAGGGGTCTTACTATTATAATCATAAGCTATCTGGGTCCTCATATCCTGGTAGGATAATCCCACTGTCCAGCCGAGTGTCCCAGCATTTCCTCTGGTTACAGCTCCCTTTCACTCTCAAAAATGTCCCCCATTTAAACTAGAAAATGTTAAATTGCACAAGTGGCTCCCGTGGCCATAGCAGCAGAGGACAAACCTCATGCCATTCGCCAGGTCCCGAGGGAATAGGCCTTTGGGCTTTTCCCAACAAAGAGATTCAGCTGCCAGCTTCTGTGGCAGCTTCCAGAGCGTGTCCACCGCAAATCTTACCCAAGTACACATACAGAGTCTCAACTGCTTGGGCAGGAGGCAAGCTCACTTTAGATCAAATATTGAACAAAGAGACCCTTACAGTGAAAGTGAGATGGGTCTGGAAAGGCGGTCTGAGGAGAGGAGGGGATTCCATCCTGGAGTTAGGTTCCTATGCAGACCAGGACATGGGGAAAGAGAGAGGCCCTCTGTGTTCTTTCATGGATCCATCCTCAACAGTTATGAGCAGAGCCTGGGAGAGGTGATAGGGTCAGTTTGTGAGACTGGATGGAGATTTTAGTCCCCAGAGTACGTACACACACACACACACACACACACACACACACACACGCCTCACATCCCGTGTACTCCTTAGCCCCATCTGTTCCTGTCTTACCTGGCGTGACGAGAGGTGGGATGTCCCCTGGTCGGTGGCTAGGAAAAGAAAAGTGGTGAGATCTGTGTTTGCCTCTTTGTCCTCACCCTCAAGACTAGCAGACTCTCAGCTTTCCTCAGCCTGGCTTCCTGGCTTCTTTCCCATCATAGAGTTGTACCACCCCAGGGTCCCAAGCATTTCAAGATTTGGGGCCCTTTGGGGATTTTCAGCTCTGAGGAATAAACCTAGGAAGTCTTTCTTAGTGGCGGGAATCTCCAGGGCAGAGCCTGGCCACCGGGCCTTTCTGCAAGGCTTCACCCCTGGAAGGTGTCTGTCCAGCACGAGGTAGGCACACACTGGGAATCCGGCTCACCTGGGCTTCTGGCTGAACTTGCACTTGCATTTCCCACCTGTTGGGGAGAGGAGAATGGTCAGGAGAGGGGACCCACAGCCCTGCCCGCCCCACTCCCTGGCAGCTCCTCCACTTACTCATGACGACAATGATGCCGATGGCGCACAGAATCCCTGCACAGATGAGCCCTCCGACTCGGAGGCTGTGCCAGTCTAGGAGAGACCCAGAGGGGGCCCTCTGTGTCAGCCAGCCAGTGTCCTCCTCATCCAAGCCCCCACCCACTTAACAAGGATGACTGGGCACCGGTGCTGTGCTGGGCGCTGGGATACAGCTGTGCAGAGAACAAGCCCAGCCCTCCTCTGCTCATACCTAGTTAACACGCAGGCAAGCGACACAGATCTCATGGAGGGTCAGATGGAGAGACGTGGTCTGAAGACAAGGAAGCAGAGCCAGGGAACAGAACAGCTCTTTTAGGAGAGTGGCCAGGGAAGGCCTCTCCGCGGGGCCCCACTGGAGCAGAGATGTGGGAGAGGAGGGAGGGAGCATGTGGCGTGTGGGAGAAAGTATCCAGGCAGAGGGGTCAGAAAGGACAGAGATCGGAGGCAGGGAGTGCACCTGCTGAGTCTGCGCCACAGCAGAGGGGCCATTGTGGCCGGAGCAGAAGCCGCGATGGGGGAGGGAGGACAGAGGAGGGACACGGAGCAGATCCTGTGGAATCTGGAGGCCACGGAGGTTTGGGTCTAATGGCACAGCTCCTCCAGGAAGTTTTCTCAAGTCAAACCTCTCCCAGACTTGATTTGAACATAACAGTGCTTCTCGTAACTGTCCCTGCTTCTCGTAAACTGTCCTTGCTGGATAGTCATGCATCTTCCCGAGGACCAGGCTGGCCTGTCTTGTTCCCTGAATCCACTGTGGCTACTGGCCAATGTCCTGGTCCAATCCTATCCTTGCCCCCTTTCCACCCACAGCAGACCCTCACCCAACACTGTGTGGGGCCCTCGGCACAAAACAGTATGAGGGGTGGGGTAGGAGGAGCAAAGGGAGGGGCACCAGCTCTTACCATAGTAAAATGGACTGTTTTTATCTGAAAGGAAAGAAAAAAGAACATAAATCCAGGAGCAGAGCTGGAATACAGGGGGTCCAGGGGGAGTTTGGGGGGGGGGGGGAGGCTGGTAGAAGAGCACAGTCTGACTTACCTTCCGGGTCGTTGGCGTCCAGGGCAGGCAGGCCTGGCGGGAGAAGCAGGAAGGAGAGGACATGGGTGCTGGTCTCAGTGAAGCTGGCAGGGCCAGGGGCTTGGAGAAAGGCCCCCTGATGGACAGGCCCTGCCTCCCGAGGGTGCAGGGGTCCAGCCCCAAACTAGCACGTCCCATCTCGGAGGTGTGGACCCTCCACTCAGCCCACACCTGCGAGCCACGCCAGCATTTTGCCTCCTGAACTAGGTTTTAACCCGGGTAGCTCTTGGCCACCCTTTGGCCCGATGTCTCCAGACCCCTGGCTACTCCACGCCTCCTCCAGAAACGGAGCGATGTTCTCGTCCGCAGGACACACGGTGTCAGTGCCGTCATCCTCGGAGCTCATCTCCCTGCTCGGCCACATCCCACCCGCCTGTTCTGATGTTTGCTCACCACTCCTCTTTAAAGCAACTTGCTAATTATAAACTTAGTACACTTTATTTAAAAAACCGTCTTCTATCACCATCCTACATGGAATAGTCTTGCCTGATGTAACAGGGAAAAACAAACACAATGAAAGCAAAGGACTAGGACTCAATTCTGGCTAGAAGCGGTGGCTGCGGGAGCCCGGGGCCTAAGCTCTGTTCGTTCTTTAAGGGGAGATTAATAATTTTAAATTATATTTTAAGTACAAGTACATAGTTACTCTGTACAGGCCCTGTTTTAAGTGCTTTCCGAATGCCAGCTCTTTCCATCCTCACAGTGACTCTACGTAAGTGCTGTTATTGCCCTCATTTTACAGGTAGGGAAACTGAGGCACAATTGGTAACTTGTTCCATTACCTCTAAGCTCCCAGTTACCCCCCACCCCCGTAATAAAGTGTTAGGGAGGCATGAAGACACAGCAAAGGCTGAGCATCTCCTTGAAGTCATCAATGAGACATCAAGACAAGACTTTCTAGCTGGTTGAGCTGCTGCTATGAGAGGTCCTGTGTTTGTGTTCGCTTGAAATCACCAGCACAACACTTCTTCCCTCAAGGAGACGCTATCCTGACAGTCACCGCCCCACAGGGGACACTGTGAGGCTTGCCTGCCGTTCAGCAGAGCAGCTCAGCGAACGGCCTTTCCGGGAACAGCACTCACCTGCCAGGAGGAGGAGCAGGCTCAGGGCCACTTGCTGCATGATGGAGCCGGCCTGGAAGCGGAGGGGAGGGCCCAGCTTTAGCACGGCTGCAGGGCCTCTGGTTCCCAACCCCCTCCTACTCCACGCCCCACCCAGGTACACACCTCACCCCAGGGTAGGAAGGCTGGCACTGAAGGCTGAGAGACAAGAGCTGAGGAGTGCAGTGGGTGCTAGGTGAGAACTCAGACCTGATGGGGGAGCAGCAATAACAACTCACTGGACATGGACTTGAGGCTTGAAGTGAATCACCCTGGCAACCAAATAAGAGAGAAGCTGCCTCTGGTTGACCCCATTTTACAGATTGGGAAACTGAGGCTCTGATAGGTGCCTTGTCAGAAGTGGGATTTAAACCAGGGTTGGCTTTGCAGCAGCTGTCCCTAACTCAGGATTCTCAGGGCCTCGGGGTGTTTTGGGAAATGGGGTGTTAGAAGCCAAGTGGCAGGAGGCCCAGTTCCTAGGAGTGTCTCCCATAGACAGCTTGGAGCCTGCCTGCCTTGCCCAGACTTTGTAGATTCAAGCCGCTCAGGGCTGGGTGTGGCGGGTAGAGCACAAGGCTGGGGTGGGGTGGGATAGACTTGGGAGAATTGGCCTGGCTGCAGCCCCAGCTCCATCTTTTGTGCCACCCTAACCACTGACCCCCATTTCTGCCCCACCCCTGCTCATCCCACCCCAGCCCCTGGTTCTGCCTCCACCCAGGTCCCAGCCCCTGCTCCTACTCCACCTCCTGCCAAGCTCCTCCTGGCAGCAGATCTTCCTCCTTCCCCAGGGAGCCCTGCTCAGCATGAAGAGGACGCCTCTGTCCCCTCTTGGCCTAGGGTGAGTCCACCCTACCACCATCCTCTGTGCCTGTGATAAGCACCCGGTCTCTGTGCATCCCCTGCCCTCTCCCTGCCCCTGCCCCTGCCCCACGGCTAAGGCATCGGTTGTCATAACCTTAACAGCAAGAGCTTACACTTCCTCTGACCCACCTGTGCCGGGCACTGCCAGTGACCCTGCTGGGTTTCACTCGTCTAATCCCGACAACCCTGAAGGCCATCTGTTACCTGCCCCATTTCCTGATGGGAAAACATATGTCCTCCCCACCCTGGTGAAAAGCCCCTTTGACTGGAGAGAGCACCCCCATCTCGCTCCTTCTCAGTCCCTCCATGGAACCCCCACCTGAGCTGCTTTCGATTTCAGGAAGAGGCCTGTAGTTTGGGGGAGCATTACTAATGAGTTTAGGAGCCCAAAATGTTTTAGGGGGATCTGGGGAGGGTGTGTGGGCAGGACAGGCCTGTAGAAGGTCTGCTGCTGTTGAAAGCGACCTGGTGCGGCTTTGCCGCCCCAGGACTAATAGCACTGCTAAGAGCCTGGCTCACCGAGGTTCACCCGGGCACGCTGTTCTCAGTTCTGTGCGCTCATTCACGCGTGTCATCTTCACAGCAGATGAAGGTGGCGCTGTGCTTAGCCCACTTTGCTGTCGCAACCCTGTAACCCGTGTGAACTACTCTGTCAGCGGCAACTCTGAGTCTCAGCTCTTACGCCTCTTTCCATGGGATCCTCCGAGTCCCCCGCCTGCTGCAAAGTCTCCATTACTCTCCCTCCCGAGCATCACCCAGCATCCCCAGCTCAGGGGAGACTGGAGTGGTCTCAGCTGTGCCTGGCTGAGCGCTGGTGTCTGGGGGTCTGCCCTCCTCTTTCTTGTCAGGCTGTCGTTGGAAGAGGCCCTGAGCTGCTCCTGAACTGACTGTTACTGGTGTGAGGCTTGGAAAGGAAGGCGGCTTTGCAGATTGAGGCTCTGCTCACCCCTTTCCACTCCTTCCCGGCCACGGAGGTCCTGTCTCCGCCGGCTGCCTCTGCTCTCCCCTCTGTCCCTCTATGGTGCTGGAGGCCAGGCCTTTCAGGCATGAGGAATGACTCCTCGTGTCCCTGAAATCTCCCACCCAGCCCCCCATTTTACAGCTCCTCAGGAACCTCCAGCTCCGTTTTCTCGACAGGACCCCACTTCCTAGACACTCGAGTCTAGCCAGTCACCCTATCTGCTCTGATACCACCAACCATCCATGATCTACTTAGATACCTCCATTCGCTCCGGTACCCCCAGGCCCCCTGTTCGCCCAGATGCCCCCAGTCCTGTCCTGGTCCACCCAGGTGCCCCTGATCTATCCAGACAACCCGGTCGCACCTGCAGATCTTATCCTCTCCCCGATTGGCTCACCAGCCCCAGAGGAGAATCATGGGAGGAGGATCTCATTAGGGCTTCCTCTAATCTCCTGCTCCCGCCCCCAGAAAAGGACCTTGAAGGCAGAGGTTCTAGGGTCTTTAACAGAGAGCAGTGGAGGGAGGGGGCCCCATCACTCACCCGTGTGGCTCCCCAGGCTGTGTGGACGGTGTAGTTCCGCCTGAGTCCTGCCTTTATCTGCAGCTGCCACGCCCTAAGCAAACCTGGGCAACGCTGGGCAGGTAGAGAACAAGTCAGACTGCCTAAAGCACAGGAGTTCCCATTCCATTCCTGCTCTTAAAGAGACAGCTCCAGCCACCACCCCACCACTGACAGGAGCTCCCTGGGGTCCAAGACTGAGGTGAGGTGCAGTGAGAATAGGATGGGCTGGAACTCATCCCCAACCCCAACATTAGGGGAGGGGGCTTTCTCCAATCTCCTGCCCCTCAGAAAGGGACCTGGAGGGAGAAAGTGCAGGGGCTTTAACAGCAGAGCGGGCCTGGGGGTCTGGGAGGGGGTGGAGGAGGCTATGCAGAGGCGTAGTATCCCGTTACTTTTACTTAGATTGTGCTGTGCTTGGAGGAGGGATTGGCCTCAATCGCGGGAGAGCTAATGTCCTCTTCCAGGCCACTTGCTGCCGTTGACTTAGTTTGAGGGTCAATAGAAGATGCTGGTATGGCCAAGGAGAGGGTGGGGCTGCTTGGCCTTAGACCAGGACCCCTCCCTGTTGTGTCCCTCGTGCCCCAGGGAGACTGGGAACTGGCTCCTGAGCACCAGGTCCAGACCTTCGGAGCCCAGGCTCTTCCTAAGAGCGCTGAGAGCCTGGGTGAACAGCGGGCCTTGGAGCGGGGGGCTGCCTGCCATTCCGGATAAGGCCCAGCTGCACCGTGCTCAGCTCCTTTGCCCGCCCTCCTTCCTCCCCTGCCCCTCCTCCTCACGGCATTCCTTCCGGCTGGGGTCTGTGCATGCCCCCACTTGGTCCCCGTTGGGGTGCCCCCTCCCCCCAATTCCGCCTTTTTAGACAGAGAGACTTTTGTCTGGGGGCTGGATAGAGAACAAGGCTCCTTTGAGTGGCTGGTAGAGGATTGGGGTCATGGGGAGGGGCAGGGCCAGAAAAGGGGTGGCTCTGTGCTGGCCACCAGCTGGACTCCAGGCGACCCCCAATACCATCACAGGGGTGGGGAGGAGGGCTGCAGGAACCAGGCCAGGGAGAGGGTGGAGTGCAGGCCAGGGAAAAGGGGTTTGGAGGTCAAGGCCCTGCTGGGGCTATTTGCTGGGGCAGGGAGAACAGACCCCCACTTCTCAGCAGGGAGGGACAGGGAGGCAGCAATGTTCACGCAGCTGTATGGTTTCTTCATGTGGTTCCCTCGGGCAATTTCTCGGTCCCAGGCCCTAAACTAGGACAAGTCCTCTCCCCACTCCCATTCCGGAGGGGCCAGTCCCTACAAGAAGTGGAGGGGACACTCAGGGAGGTGGGGCTCAGTCAGAGTGGGAAATTCGGGGTGGGTGGAGATAGAAACGGAGGAAGGGAAGGCCTGAGGGGGATTCCAGTCCAGCTAAGGGGTCTTTGTGTCTGGGCAGATAGCATCTCTCGCACAGACAGTTCAAGATTGTAATATCCCTGGGAAGACCCCTTTGGTGGTCTTGGGAGTGGAGTGGTGTCTCTCCCTGCTGGGAAGTCTGGGAACTACAGGCATCTCAGAGTGAGAAGGCCTGAGTGCACTGTGGTGGATGGAAGATGCATGCTCTGTCCTTCATCTATGCCAACAGCGGTTCTCAACCTGTGGGTCACGACCCCTTTGGCGGTCAAATGACCCTTTCACAGGGGTTGCCTAAGACCATCCTGCATATCAGATATTTACAATACGATTCATAACAGTAGCAACATTACAGTTATGAAGTAGCAACGAAAATAATTTTATGGTTGGATCACAACATGAGGAACTGTGTTTAAAGGGCCAGGAGATTGAGAACCACTGGTCTACAAACTCAGATGCCAAAGGGGCCAGGCAAGAATCATGAATGAGTACAGCAGGACAGACGTGAGATTATAAGGTATGGAGACAACTCAGCAAATAGGAGAACTATTGTCCTGTCTAAATGGCAGCTGCCAAAAAGACTGGAGCAGGCTCACATGGACAGGTAAAGAAGTACTTCCCAGACGCCTTGGGAGAAAAACGAGACGTATCAAAGTGTGCTGCCATTAGTGAAGAGGAAAATAATTTATATGTGAATACTTGTATATGAATAAAATATTATTGCTTCTGGGGAGGGGGATTGAGAGGCTGCAGGATGGGGTGGGAAGAGACACTCACTTATATATCCTAGAAATGTGCTACCTTGAAAAAAGTTTAATTTTTAAAAAGTAAGGGATAGGCTGTACACAGTTCCAGCCAATTGCTACTATTTTTAATAGGTATCAGAAATCTGAATCTTTATGTGGAAGTTCTAATCTTAAAAGTTGGGTCAGATTTTTAAAAAATTATTCAGGTCAAACAGAACACATCTGAGGGCTGGTTTTAGCCTGGGAAGACCACCAATTAGAGCTTTCTGCCAACTTCACTTCCAGAATCTTTAGTCACTGTGATTTTGCATTGGGATATCCAAATGTTTATGAGGCTTATACCCAACTCAGGCCAACCATAGCTTCTCCCCAGGGCTGGACTGGAACAGGCCATGTCCAAGAGTGAGCTGGACTGGGGCCGGGGCTTTTGGCTGGGAGGGTAGGACTAGAGACCCCCTGTGGGTGGGTGAAAGTGTGCACACTGGGACCTGGGGAGGGTTTGCAGAGAGTGAGGTATGTGCAGCCTCTTGCATCCTGTTGGTGAGTCTTCCAGGCCGATTTGATTTCAGTCATTTTGAGGCAGGATTTTAAGAAGCTAGGAAATTTCCTTGACAAGTGGAATAAAGGAAACAGACAAAATAACTAAATAAGGCCAAACAATTTGAGCAATGAACAGCCAGCTAATGAATCACAAGGCTTTATCTTCCCTAACCAAGGACACTCAGGAACAAATGGTTTACACATTCTAGACCAGTGGTTCTTAACCTTCCTAATGCTGCGACCCTTTAATACAGCTCCTCATGCTGTGGTGACCCCCAACCATAAAATTATGTTCGTTGCTACTTCATACCTGTAATTTTGCTACTGTTATGAATCGTAATGTAAATATCTGATATGCAGGATGTATTTAGGTGACCCCTGTGAAAGGGTCGTTCGACCCCCAAAAGGGTCACGACCCACAGGTAGAATCTAGACCATTCTGGGACAGACTAGCCTGAGTCCCAGTCCCTCTTTGATGATGTTCTTGAAAAATGAAACTAACCAGAAAAAAACCCTGTCCTTTCCATACACACATTCTGATGAATCAACATATTGAGGACACACCTGGAATAATGAATATTCTGTTAAGAACCTCCCCTGAGAACTCCCCTAGGATTCCTGCCCACAGAAGCGTGTATCTCTGCTCTCTTTCTCTTATACTTTAATGCAGGGGTCCTCAAACTTTTTAAACAGGGGCCAGTTCACTGTCCCTCAGACCGTTGGAGGGCCGGACTATAGTTTTAAAAAAAACTATGAACAAATTCCTATGCACAGTGCACATATCTTATTTTGAAGTAAAAAAACAAAACAGGAACAAATACAATATTTGTATTTGCGTGTGGCCCGTGGGCCGTAGTTTGAGGACCCCTGCTCTAATGGTTTCTACAAGACTTGCAACCAGAGGAGCAATGGGCAATGGCAGCTTGTCCCAGGTTAACCCCCGATCCTATCTCCAAGGCCCCCTTTTTCTCTGACTTGCCAGCGAGCCAAAGCAGCCCCACCTAGGCTCTCTCCTGTTGTTTCTTCTACCTTAAGCCCTTCCTTGTCCCCAGCTTTCATAAACATACCCTCAAAATCACTTGGACTCCTATGAAGTCAAGAACCCACACACTACAGGCTGGGCTGAGGTGGTCTGGTAACAGTATTAAAGTGTGTCCATTTATTTATTTATATATACAATAGAGGCCCAGGGGGAGCAGGCCTAAGCCGGCAGTCGGACATCCCCTGAGGGCTCCCAGACTGCAAGAGGGCACAGGCCGGGCTAGGGACCCCCCCTTCAGTGCACAAATTTCGTGCACCAGGCCTCTAGTCTATATATAGAAAATAAGGTGCAAAACTGCCATTCACTGGAGCATTATCTCAATTCATTGAAATTTTGCTTTCCAGAAATTGTCGACAGTTTGGCTCAAATAAACTCACTAAAAATTCTCTATAGGTTTGAATGTTTCTTAACTTTACAGTTTATAGATATAGTGTATAGATAATGTCATTTGAAATAGTTCCCCTTCATTTTGCTTTTGAAATTCTTTGGCCCTGAAGAACCTGTTGAAGTTGTGATTGGCTGCGATTTCTCAGTATCCTGGAAATCTTTGCAAAATGAGAAAAACCAAACCTACAAATAGTTTCTGAATATCACAAACTTTTCAGGAATGCTGAATAAAAATACAAAAGCAAGGCCATAGGGTGTTTTATAGTCACCTATTCAAAGTTTTATTGATTTTGGTTTTAATATTCAGGCTCAATAAGTTTATTGCTCTTCTTTTAAGTCTGCGAATGTTTCCATAGGCTCCCGACAAATTTATAGGCCCCAGATGGGCAGCCTGGGGTGTGGGAGCCAGAGGCACCCGACTCATGAGGGTTCTTGTTGGGCCAGTTCCCCACCTTTCCAGGTGGAAACTGAGAGGCCAGGCTGGTGGGTTTGTTACCGGAAAGGGGACCTAGCCCTTAGCAGGTCTGCCTCGACCAGCCGGTAGTGTGTGGGTTCTTGACTTGGTGCAGGGAAAATTTCAAACATGAGTCCAGATGACTAAGAGGAAATGTTTATTAAAGCTGAGGACAGTAAAATATGAAAGGATTTAGCATGGAAGAAGCAACAGGAGAGTCTAGGGTGGGCTGCCCTAGTTCTCTGGAAAGTCAGAGAAAAGGGGGCCTTGGGATCAGGTTCAGGGGTTAACCTGGGATGAGCTGTTGCTACCCATTGCTCCTCTGGTTGCAAGTTTTGTGGGGTTTCTTAGAGTTTAGGAGATGCATGGCTGTAAGAGTGGGGGAAACGAGGGGAAAGGGAATGATGGGAACTGCTCCCCAGAGGGAGAGCATGTGCAAGGTCCTTTGTCTTGAAGCTTTATTTCTTTCTCACTGGCTTTATTTCTTTAGGGGAAGGCCTCAGTGTATTTCAGCTCCAGACCCAGAAAAACAGCAAAACCAGGGGGTGATACCTGGTTTTGCTGTTTTTCTGGGTCTGGAGCTGAAATACACTGAGGCCTAGATGTTATTTCTAGGGAGGCAACCTTCTGTATCGGCTGGAAATCGCTCTGCAGTTTGTTCAGCTATCTGTCTCTGTTTCCCTATTCTACTTGTTCTACTGGCTTACTGTCCTGTCTCAGGTTGGGGAGGTGAGGTTGCAGCAATATTCCAAGTTCCTATTTCCTAGGCAAGATGAGGACAGAGAGACCCATGGGCAGATAAGTATGGCCTCCTGGGGCTCTGGAACTGGTCCCTGTGGCCTCTGTATTGCACACCTGTGAGAGAAGAGTGGGAGCTGGCAGGAGGCCCAGTCCTGCCATTTTGGGGTGGGGTGACATGCCACACAGGGCAGCCTTAAAACCTTCCCTCTGTACTGCTTCTGTTGTAGGTGGTGGGCCAACCACAAGCTCTGGATGGAGAGTCAGCCAGCAATGTGGGAAGGGCCCAAGCAAGCACTGTGCAACCAGGTAACCTCATGCATGAGCCAAGGTGGAAAACTGGACTATAAGGACTGCCTTGATGGTTGGGTATCCTCAGAGGTTGAGTATATGTGACTGGGATGTGTCTGGAATAAAAAGTGAGTGGGGAATTCTAATCTGTGGTTCTAATCTCCCACAAGGGTAATGTCCAGAGAGGGTTGAAGTGGATCTTGGGAAGTGCGAGAAATCTCCAGTATGGGGGATTGAGCACACAGGACACATAGAATAGTCACAAGGGACTTTCTGAGGATGGGAAACAAAATTTCTAGGCCTAGGGAATACATTCCCCCAGATAGTCCATTGAGGAGAATGCTGAGGATCAGGGAGGAGGGGGACAGTCCCCAAACCAGGGACAAGAAAGATTGCTCTGCTTTGGTGGTGTTTTATACAGGGCATTCTGTGGTGCCTGGCTGGACAGACAAGGAGCATGATGAGAAGCTTTATCTGCAGGTTATGTGCACCTATAAATATCCTATATCAGTGGTTGGCAAACTGCAGCTTGCAAGCCACATGCAGCTCTTTGGCCCCTTGAGTGTGGCTCTTCCACAAAATACCACGTGTGGGCGCGCACGTACAGTGTGATTGAAACTTCGTGGTCCATACGCAGAAGTCGGTTTTCGGCCTGGGCGAGTCTATTTTGAAGAAGTGGTGTTAGAAGAAGTGGGGGTACGTTCGCTGAGGTCGACCCCTCAGATTGAGGACGTTTTTAGCAAAGGCCAGCTTAGGAGTACCCTAATTAAGTTAATAACAATGTACCTACCTATATAGTTTAAGTTTAAAAAATTTGGCTCTCAAAAGAAATTTCAATCATTGTACTGTTGATATTTGGCTCTCTTGACGAATGAGTTTGCTGACCACTGTCCTAGACACTAGAGCAGCGGTTCTCAACCTGTGGGTCGCGACACTTTTGGGGGTCCAATGACCCTTTCACAGGGGTCACCTAAGACCATCGGAAAACACATATATAATTACAAATTGTTTTTGTGATTAATCACTATGCTTTAATTATGTTCAATTTGTAACAATGAAAATACAACCTGCATATCAGATATTTACATTAAGATTCATAACAGTAGCAAAATTACAGTTATGAAGTAGCAACGAAAATAATTTTATGGTTGGGGGTCACCACATGAGGAACTGTATTAAAGGGTCACAGCATTAGGAAGGTTGAGAACCACTGCACTAGAGCAAAGTGAGCCTGGGGCAAGTTACTGTTGTGGTGGGGGATGGAGGGAAAGCAAAGGTGAGAGACATAAGTAAAATCTGAGTGTCTAGGAAAAATTAAAGGGAAGATATCCTAAAACTTCTAGGAAATCTCCACCAATGAAGCAAAAAAAAAAAACACAAAAATGCCTCTATTATTCTGTGAGCAACAAACCAAACTGAGTTGGGGTCTCAGACAATTTGCTCATATAATTGCAAAGACAGACAGAAACTCCCAGATTGGAGAGGGCTCTCCTGAGGGCTCCCAGATTGGAGAGGGTGCAGGTCGGGCTGAGGGACCCCCACACCCCCCCAGTGCACGAATGTCATGCACCGGGCCTCTAGTTGTATATAAGAGTGTTTCTGTTTTGTGTCTCTTTGTTTTTTGGTTTAATTTATTTAAAGATAGGGCATGTCCCACTTTGGGGGAGCCCAGCTATTCGTGGCAAGGCTGAACATGTGGCAGAGATTACAGGAACGTCCAGCAGCTGCCAAGAATTCTTAATCTTGGGGACTCTTCTCGCTTTCCCTCTCAGGGCATCAGCTGCCTGAAACTCTTAGCTAGTGTGGACGAAAGGGGCCACATGCTGACCTGACAAGCTCAGGAGAGGTCTGCATGGCAGTTTTGCAGACCTAAAGTAACCACAAAGGATGGTCTGAAATTAAACTTTAACTAAAAGCAGTTATGGTGGGCAGTTACGTCCTAGGCCAGTATCTTCACTGACAAGGTCAACCTTTACCGTAGCTGAGCCTATCTGTCTTTTTGCATCTATGATAACATATCCTTCCTTGAAATGTCTGGGTCACTTGTGACTTCCCTGTATCTGGAGCCCCTGGGGCACAACCAGGTGTGCTGGGCCTCAGGACAGATACCACAAATTCCTTCATCATCATGTTAATTGTTCCTGCACCCACCTAAGTATGTGTCCATCATTTTACTTTTTATCCTATCCCAGAGGTTTCCCCGCTTCGCTTAATCCCACCTCCTTAATCTATCACCAATGAATTTCATGTAACCCACCTATGTTCCTCCTTTGATTAGAATGTATAAATACGGATGTAACCCCGCCATTCTCTGGAGCACTATCTCAATTCGTTGAGGTTCTGCTTCCCGGCATATGTCGACAGTTTGGCTCAAATAAACTCACAAAAATTCTTTACAGGTTTCAATGGTTTTTTTACGTTAACACTAGTGAGAGTTCTTGTCTGTGTGTCTGTAATGTAATTTAGGTTACCAATTTACTTTGCTTGCTGTCTATCTTTTGGGGGCTTAGTTTGCTCTTCGCTGGTTTATGAACATAGGGTCAAAGATTACATGAGGAAGTCGGGATTACAGGCCCGCCAGGGGAAGTAAGTGATGTGGGCTGGGGTGGGGCTCCATTGTTTGGGCAACAACAGTTGTTAACCTTTCCATGATCATAGGCAGGTCTTGAATGAGATTGGACTACATTCCAAGGTTGACTCCCAGGTCCAAAGTTGACTACCAGGTCCCAGGGGCGTACAATTTCCAGATTTTTGCCTCTAACACTGGGAGGAACAGATCTGCAGAAGTGCCCTCTAGCAAGTTGGAGAAATAGCAATGGGGCGGGGGGAGGTAGGCAGGGTCACTCCCGTTTTTATAAAGAAAAATAAAATAAAATAGTACTTTCACATTAAAGCCACTGAAGACTGGTGAGTTGTCCCTGTTACAAAATTGCCAATAAAATGCCTTGAGTAATAATAGTTAGCTTTAAAATCTCAAAGTTGTTGTAAATATAAAAAAAAAGTGTATATGATAATAGTTATATATGCCTAAACATAGTTTTCCAAAAACTTTTAGTAACTTCCAAAGTTTTAGTAACTTAAAACTTTGAGTTTGCTGGGTTAAATGGTAAAAAAAAATTATTAAGTATCTAGGTATTTTGAAATACCAGGATACTGAAATATCAATCTCAGTTTGCCATGTATGGAGAATCTAGAGGATAGATTTGAATCTGTTAATAATAAGTCTTGTATTTTATTTAAAATATCTCTTAAAATTGTGAATGTATTGCTAATCTGAGGAATGTTAATTACATGTCACCTAAAAATCAAGGTTTCTAAGGGTTAAGAATTCTAACTAATTGGGAAGAAATTATGGTTTTGGTGTCATTTTGAAGGAAAAAGAAAGTGGGTCCTGAAAGTTGTAAGATTTATGAGGAAGGGTTTGTGAACGTTGAGGAATGTTTGTAAAGAGAACTGTTGAAAGGAAGTTATATAAATGACACAGCCCAGTAAGCCAGGACAAGTAGAATAGGGAAACTGAGATGGTTAAACAGCAATTTGGAGCTATTTAGTAAATCCCATCTTCCATAAACCAAGGACACTTAAGAGTAAGTGATTTACATTTTGCCTCCCTAACAAGAGTTCATATAAAAAGTTTATATGAACGTACTCAGGGAGACAGGTAGCAGAAATCCAGTTAGTGTCATTTGCTGACCACACCCAAGGACAAATGAAGTTAAACTTTTTCTTGACTTAGAATTGGCTTTAGGTGATTCCAATAGGCCCCGGTATGCCTCAAGATCTCCCTACAATGGAGACTAGGGACAATTTCTTAAGAACTATGTACTGGCTAGCTCTTCTATTTTAATGTCTCTCAGATTAGAAGGCCTCCTGGCTCAAAGCCCTCTTCTTGAGTTCCTGGCTCATCACCATCGACCAGGAGACTACGTTACCACTGAGACTGCTGTTTGGACTGCAGAACAAGGTCGGACCCATCCCACTCGGGTTGGGGGTGTACCACCAGCCTCTCTGGGTGGAGACACCTCATCTTGGATGGCCATTTCAGGACATAGCCCCTTGAAGTTAACACCAAAGAAACTATAAGCTGTCTATTTGCTTTAGGGCTCTGGCAAATTGCAGGGGAAATGTGTATAATCAGGATCATGCTTACCCAGTTAAGTTATTGATTATAGATAACTTGAATGACTTGGATATTTCAGCCTTTAGGCCAAGAGATTGGCTAGGACTACATTTAGGAGTAGATGTTACAGGACAAGATCCCCTAGACCAGTGGTCGGCAAACTGCGGCTCGGCAAACCGCGGCTCGCGAGCCACATGCGTCTCTTTGGCCCCTTGAGTGTGGCTCTTCCACAAAATACCGACTTCTGCGCATGGGCCACGAAGTTTCAATCGCACTGTACGTGCATGCTCGCCCAGTCGTTTGCTATTAACGTCCTAGATCTGATTGAGGAC